AGCAGTGTTGTCTACAGCCGCTGTCTGAGCTCCTTTGAAGGGACTTGTGTTCACGCCCGTCGGTCCCTGCAAAAACAGGGTAATTGTCTGTAACCACCAACAGGTGAGATGGTGGGTAAATGTTCATCATCTGCCAGTGATATCAAGAAGTAAGCGGCTATAATCATTTCCCTCTCAAGGCAGTCTTCCTTTATTTTTAAATTAAATTAAATTAAATTAAATTTTATTATTTATTTGAGAGAGACAAAGAGAGGGAGAGTGGGAGGGAAAAGCAGGCTCCCCGCTGAGCAGGGGGCCCTATGTGGGACTCAATCCCAGGACCTGGGGATCCCCACCTGAGGCGAAGACAGACGCTTAACTGACTGAGCCACCCAGGTTCCCTGGCTGCCGTTCTTATAAGAGCCATCTTATTGTTGTGGGACTTCCATTTATCCGGTGTGAGGTAGTTTTACCGTTGTTCACATCACGTTTTGTCCTGTGGGCCAGTCATGCGAGGAGTCCAAGCATCAATTCCCCTCCAGCCGTGCTTCGCTATGGGGGTTGGGGGTGGATGGGCTCTGGGGTCTGGCCACGTCCAGTCCTATAGTGGAACCTGCAACTGTGACCAGCCGCTGGGGGAAGAAGCCTAGAAAGCCTCAGCTAAAAGCTGGAGGAGGAGGATTTTCTCAGGATGAAGAGGGAGGCTGGGGGAGCTTCAAAGTCGTTGGGGATATCTCTGTCCCTGGTAAACAGCAAGGAAATATTAATGTAGTGTCTGACGTCCAAGACCCAGGGCTGTCGCAGCCCGCAGGAAGCTGGTATAGGCCACGGTGGGACTGTGAAAATGGCGCCAAAGTGGAATGAGAACAAGGCCTAGGAGTAGAGGAAGAGCATCGCTGGAAAGAAAATCATTTTTCATGTCAAGTAAATAAATAAAATTCAGAAAATTTTTCAGAGTTGTAAGGTGGAACCAGGAACGTGTTGGAGCAAGCATGTGGTCCCACAGTGAAACTCAGAATGCTTCTCAGTGGCTGCATCCAGTCAGCACTGTCTTGCTGCCTCTTGTCAGGGCCGAAGGCAGCCAAGATGGCAGAGCTTTGAAATTAAGTGGAACTGACCCAAGGCCACCCCCTTGGCAAACCAGAGTAATTCCCACAACCTGAGGGTAAATGAACCAACCCCCGCCTTTAGGCATAGTGTCGGAGCAAATTGGCTAGCTATATGTAAGAGGAATGAAATGAACGTCATATTTTCTAAGTAAGAAATTTATTTGATCAAATGCATATTTTCTAAGTAAGAAATTTATTTGCTCAAATGACAGTATATGGAGATATTTTCAACTCTAAGGCCCATTCAGACAAAATGTCAATTGATTTTGAAGTAAATGGTATCAATGTTGATGGCACCTAAAAACAGAAAGACTGAGTATCCTATAAATGTGTCTGTATAAAGCATTCATAAAATCCTCGTGTACTTTAAAACTAGGTTGTAAGTATAACAGATTAACCTATAAATAGTGCTTAAAAGCAGGTTTCTGAAATGACACAATATATGGTTACACTCGAGGTATCCGGGGTTCCTGTGAGGATCAAAGAAAGGCCGTCTGTGAGGAAATGTGTCATCCTTGGAGCAAAACTGACGCGTGATTACACGGCAGCCTTGAGTTCCCAGCACACTACCCTGTTCTTTCAGGTCCTCGGGAACTGAGATCAAACGGGTGGGAATTTCTAACCACTGCTGGAAATAAGTAGAAAAGGAGGTTGGGAAACCAGGGTTGGAAAAAAGGGAAGCGAAATGGAGGCATGGCGAGGTCTGAGGTTTCTGCAAAGTGGCTTTAGAAATGTCCAAAGAAACGGATACAGGAAATAAAGAACTATGACCCCTCGGAGCTGGTCTCTGGGGTACGCAGGGAGGTGGGCACCGAGCAGTACTCGGGCTGCCCCACACATCCCAACTCTCATTGGGCTCCATCCACATACTGGCAGGACGATTTTCCTGGAAGGCTGGAGTCATTTCCCGGGTGCACCAGGGACAGGGCAGCATGTGTAGGTTACATCAACTTTTCCCAAAGATTTTTTTCCAGCATTCAAGGAACTCTGCCTTTGGGGCCAGGATAGGACCCGGGAACCAGGAATTGGCAGTGCCAGGTTATAAAACGAGAAATGTTTCAGACACATGGAAGGAGAACCAGATATGAAGAAGGTGGTGTCTCCCGGGGCACACACTATTGGCAGCGAAACACAAAGGTGTCCAATGGTGACAGGGCAACTGATCCATGGAGAGCAGTGGAAAAGACCCCGGAAAGCAAAGGGCACTAGCTGACAATCATATAGCACCCATTATTACTAATTTAAGATATATAAACATCATTGGGTTGCTTGATTCAGAGTCCAGAGTGCTCACCATTACACCATGGAACCACCCATCATTGGGTGTCTGTGCTATTATCTTATAAATATAAATATGAGGGCTTTCAAAATATTACAAATGACACATACATCCTTATGTAAATGTTACACTCCTGAATCCTACAACATACTCGGTGTTGCATTTAAACCTAGTAGATGTGGGGTTATATATAGAATAATTTTTGGATATCATTATCTGAGCCTCGGTCACACAGCTAAGTGAACACCAAAAAACACAAGAAGCATTTTAGCAGTGGCTTTGGCAGCAAACGCATTTTTTTTTTTGTCTATGTATTTATGCCTTTCACAAAGATACACTTGTCCACTGGTATAAATGAATTCGAAGCCATCCACAGGAGATCTTAGAACTTAAAACTCTTTTCTGTCTTCTTATCTGCTTCTTTGCTATGGAGTCTATGTGGGAGGGCGGGAGGGCTAGCCAGTGGCCGGCACCTCCTTTTCTCCAAGCCTCATTGTCTTCCTCAGAAGTGTGTATTTAAAAATAGGTTCATGTTTCCCATTCAGGCTAAGTGGTTCTTTTAAGATTCCTCAGCTCAAGATTACAATCTGTTATGAATGGAGCGGATGTGCGCGCATGCGCACACACGGGTTTTAATAAACAGTCAGTGAATTCCAATCGTCTGGTTTTAGCAGCGTGCCTTTAAAAATGTTTGTTCCTGGTGCTGCAGAAAATAGCCTCCCAACACGCGCAGCTTGGTCATTAGAGAGGACCCTTCCCACGGTCTCAGCTCGACAAAATGGGACACACCTGAACATGGGTCAGGTTAAGAAATCCCAAGCTTCTGTGGATCCATAGAACATTACAAACGTGGCCTCAGCAGAATCTAAAATTACTTTCTCTTCAGGGAAGGGTGTCATGTCTAATTACTTTATAGAGTGATTTTGCAAATTAGTCTTATGCATGTGGAAACTAAATGGTCCACATGACCTTACCCCGACAGAGGAAAGCAGTACCAGCGCCATTAGTTACAGTTACCACACGTGGGGTCTCAGGCAAGCAAGGGACCTCCGACCAAATGAATCTCTACAATCTTAAAGCTAAGGCTGTCATTCACCTGTGCTTCATTTCCCCCAAAAGATTGATAATTTAGGAAACTAAAGAGGCCGTGCTAAGGTGAAGTGAAATCAGCCTTTCCACTGTGGCGCTAATAAGGCAACATTTGATAGAGATGTTAGGAGCTGGATCCCCCGTCGGTGGAAATTTTCTTAACGAGGGACCGAGCATGAAAATTTAACTCCAGTGAAATTACTTAAATAATTAACATTTAAAAAGTGGATTTAGGAAAGGGAGGTGACCCTCGAGTAGCTTATCTACCTTCTCTGAGAGAAATCACCTCTTGGCAAGACAGGCTGCTTTGGGCTCAGCTTACCCAAAAGTAATTTCATTGGGAACTTTTTTTTAGCTATTTAATATAACGGAGGACTGACTCAACTGGGTTCTAGTGGATGAAATAAAATCGTCATGGCGTATGACGTAGTGTAGTCGATCAAAGGGGTTCTCCCAGCTGAGTGCCTCAGTCACACTGACCAGTCTGACCAATGATTTCAGCCAACTTCCCACTTCCCATCACTGTTTCCTGGAACACGATTCCAGGAGAAAAGAGAGATTTACAGTCAAGGCCCTCACAGCAACATCTAGGTTGGGTGCCCATGACATGGCTTTGGTCTGCCCCCAAAGCTCTGTTCACATTTGCATCCCCAGCACTGGCTCTTTGGCACATTTTAAGGAAACATCTATGGCTCTGGAGGAACTGTCTGAAACTTTAGACCACAGAATGAAAATGCTCTTTCAATCGCCTCATTCTATGACACTTGCTTAGCCCCTGGACACCCTACCACAGGTAAGGTGTTCCCCACACCAGGGTGTGTGGGACAAGATGGCTCCAAATCACAGGTGAGCTGGGTTTTTGCAGAAGGTCAAGCTGAGCTCTGAACTGCTTCCATCTGTTTTCTTTCCAGCTTTGGTTTCAGACCTGATTGCACCAGCACACTATAAGGGTAACATGAGCCAAGGCTGATGAGTTTTGCTCATTATCCTGCTCTCTATACAATGCCCAAATAAGTAAGGTGATCTAGTGGGGTAATGTGTCTGGCCTGGGAGGAAAAATAAACACCAGCCAAATCACATCTTTCTTTACAATCTTCCAGCTAAAAATTCAGTTGAACAACGCTGGAGACTCCCTGCCTTTTAATGATACCTCAACCTCAATTTCGAACTTACACTGTTTCTTAAACCTATCAAGTGGACAACCCCATTGCCACAGTGGAGAAAAAAAACTGTGAGGAAAATGAACCACAACTCAGGAAAAAAAAAAAAGAAAGTGAAAAGACATTTGCAATGACAGAGTGCTAAGTAAAAACAATAATATATCTAGAAAATACTGTGAAAATATATATCTCAAAATAGAACTAGGTTTAGTTAGAAGGCTCAGTAAAACAATTGCTTAAAAAGCTGATCAATAAAAAGGAGAGCTAAAACAACCTTCCCATCTTTGACCCTTCCTCACTTCCCAGCCCTCAGACTACCAGTGCTACAGCAGACTAATCAAGAAGCCATGAGGAAGGGCTGGTATTTTTCAGGATCTCTTCAAGACAGATTCCATCCAGGTCCCTTGTCCTCTCTCTCTGGTCAGGGTAACTGATGGACTTTCAGTGCGTTTGGAGACACGGGCTCAAAGACCTCGTCGTCATCTTCTACCCCTTCTTCGATGGGCTTCATCTTGGTAGAGCCCCGCTGGTGTGGGGACGGCACATCTGTCAGAGACACAAAGAGGAAAACCACTTACTGTCCAGCCTGCCCCGATGCTGGGATGATGTATAATGAGAAACCCCAACCAGAAAGTAAAACTCTCTGGGAATCGATCGCTAGGACCAGGCATGCAATTCCCCTAAACATTATATTTTCAATTCAACATTTCGAGAAAACAACGAAGTCAAGAAATGACTCTCAGTCATGAGAACAAACATGCAATGGATTCCAGTGCCTGTGCACATGCAGTTTCAGGAGGGTTGCCCTAAAGTGTGATTAGGAACTCAGAATGCATGTTCCTACATTAATCTATGTGGTGACTTGAGTTCCTCAAAAGCTAATTTAACTCCTAATTTCCCTAAAGAAGAGTTCCATCCTAAAGCTATGGAAGATAACACCATCTGTGGCACCACCTAAAATAGTAGTTCTTGCCACCACCTGTCCAACCACTGCCAGGACTGGTATGGGAGAGGGAGGGGTGAGGAGAAGGGAGAGGGGTGGGGCAGGTGGGGGGTAGTCCAGGCAAACAGGAAGGAAAAGCCAGGTGAAGAAAATACAACCCAAGTAGCAGAGGGGGCAGGAACATCCTTAAAGTCTTCTATATCCAAGAAGTGAAGTAATAAATGTCCCTCCTTTGTTTATGCGTTTGTCAGAGGCTTACTGAACATCTACCACATAAGGGACACCATGATTGAGAGAGGAAAATAACGTGGTTTAAAAGTAAGAGGAGTTACTAAAAATGGGTGCACAGACTTCTCAAGGTGCTTGATGAGCGGCTCCCAGAACAGCACAAACGCCCCTCCACAAAGTTCCCACACTGAGTGTCAGGATTCATCCAGCAGGGTTCCCCTTGTCTGCCCTGTGCACAGCCACGTGGTGCGCGTGCAGCCCTCCAACAGGGCAGAATGGTATTCTGTCTGTCAGTCAATCAGCAAATGCTGACCTCAGGCTGAATTTAAGATTGATGATGGGAGGGGGCACCTGGGTGGCTCAGTGGGTTAGAGTCTCTGCCTTCGGCTCAGGTCATGATCTCAGGGTCCTGGGATTGAGCCCTGCATCGGGCTCTCTGCTCAGTAGGGAGCCTGCTTCCCCTCTCTCTCTCTGCCTGTCTCTCTGCCTACTTGTGATCTCTCTGTCAAATAAATAAATAAAATCTTAAAAAAAAAAAAAAGATTGATGATGGGAGAACGATGGTGAAACCTGACTTCAAATACTTGGTATAGAGCAGAGGAGGATAGTGGGACCCGACTAAGGCATGAAGCAGAGCTGCTACAAGAACTTTATCCAGATCACCTGTTAATCCCTGGCAAGCGTGGGCAGCTGACAGCAGAGGCTGTGGGCGAGAAGAACGGGTGGGGCACGGGGGGGTGGCATGCAGCACGCACCATGGTCAAGACCCCAGCCTCAAAAAACAGTTCCCGGGTTCAGAACCCCGCTGTGCTGCTTCCTAGCTGTATGATCTACGCTCTGTCACTAATCCTCTCTAGGCCTCAGTTTCCATACCTGTTATAGGGAGATATTCCCAGGGCCCATCTAGTGCCGTTGTTGGGGGATAAGACAAAAGAATGGGGTCATGGGCTCAGCAGGGTGCTGGGCACGTAGAAAATGCCACTCCATGTTTATGATGAGCTGCACGGTCCCAGTCACGCACTGGCGGAATGCCACTCCCAACGGCCACAGCTTCCAACATAAAAAAGTTAGGAATTAGACTGGCCTGGACTTTGGTTTAGTTAATGTGTTTGCTGTGCCTACATGGAGACTTTATTTTCTGTTACTGTTTATTTTCAAGCATTTATGGTCCATTAAAATCCCAAGTTTCTTGAGAGACAACTACTGACATTAACTGTAGATGATGAGCCTCTATTAATATGATCCAGGGACACAATTCCATCACAAACAACCACATGGCGGAACCACCCAGGCAAGTCTTTTGGTCCTTTTTCTCGCAGGTGACAGCATGACCACTAGCCACAACCTTCAATTTGCGGGTCTACTCAAATGGCAGTGAATACTATCCTTGTGACCTTGGGCAAGTTAATTCACGTCCCCCTGCCTCAGTTTCCCTATCTGTAAAATAGGAATCATTGCTCTTATCTACTTTGTATGGTTGTTCAGAGAACTAAGTGGCTGACAGTTCTTACCTCAGTGCCTGGGATGCAATAGTCATTTTGTCAGTTTGTAAGTTAATAAAATGAGTTATTGATATGGTCTTTGGAGGGCAATGGCCTAAGTAATTAGAACATTTGTTAAAATTCATTATCGCCAGTAGGAATGGCAGATAAAAACACGCGGGACTTGTACTCGAATGGGGGTTTGTGTTTCTCAGTTGAAACGGTCCCACATGCAGCAAAATTTATCTTAAAAAAGTAGCCACGGCTTCTGTCATATGTCTAGCCTCCAGTTATGACTGAGCCTCATGAAACACTAACTCAGGCTGAGTATTTGCAGTCTGATAAAAACTCTGAACAAACAAGATGGCGTGTCTGAGAGCATTAAACCAAATCAATAAGGCAGAGGATTCAGACGTGATTGTGTAACACGCATAACAGAAACACACCCAGTTTATTTTGATGGCGGAAGTGGGATTTGTGCTCTGGATTTTAGCCCATCTATCAACAGGGGAGACATTCTACGGGACCCTGCAGCTGCCATCTACATCGGGGCCAAAATGTTCTCTGCCCTCTCAGCTCCGTCACCAACTGGTGCGTTTCCCCACTGAGAAAGAATGAAGAGAGGACCCAAGACAACTGGAAATGACCTGGTGAAAACCTTGCAAGGACTGTCAACTTCTCCATGAAAGAATTTGTTCATTCCCCAGTACACTGGCCAGGGCCAAGGAAGAGCTGTGGTGCTTACCACATAGCATTAAAAAGACAGTAGTGTGGGAACCATCCACAGTCCTGGGGTGATACCCACAGTCCTGGGGTGATACCCAGCGGCCTCCAAGTTGGGCCTCCTTCCCCTTCCAGTCCAGGCTCTGGCAAACCTCACTGCTCCCCAAATCCAACTCATCCTTTCCCTCTTCTCTTGCTTTTCTTCCCACCTGGAGTGGCCTCTCCATTACCATCCCTATTCATCAAATTCCTATCCATTCCTCAAGGTCAAGGTCAAACCCCACCTTCTTCATCTGGAGTCTTCCCTAATTCCTTAGGAGGAGAGATTCCATTCCCTAGAGTCCAACAGCCCTTCCACATTCTGTAGTTCACTGTGATCACAAGTATGTAACTCTGTCCCTTACTGGAAAACAAGCACCTTGAGGGCTATAACCACATCTTCTTCTGTCCTGCAGAAGCAGCCCCCACACAGCCATGTCCTTGATCATTACTTAGTACATGAAACTCCACATGAGGCCTTCAGGAGGCTGAGCCTGACCATGAGGCAAAGACACATGACCGTCACCTTTAGTCTCGGATAGGGGTGGGGAACCACCTGTATTTCTCATGTGCAGGAAGTCTCAGGATATAGGAAAACCTTGCGATGAGAAGGGACCGTTATCACTATATTCTGTGTCATGTTCACAGCCCGCGGAGTAGAATTTCCTCTGAGCTGTACACCATGTTCGGTGTGTGCAGCTGAGAGAGAGAACAGCAATCCTGAGGGGAAGAAAAAAACTCAAACTCAAAAATACGAGCTTTGAGCGTGTGTAGAAGACAGAGGCTTAGCAGTAAGAGCCCTGGACCAAACAGTGGACCCTTCCACCCCTGTCAGATCACAGTGGGGGACAGCACTGCGGACGTCCACCGGAGGATTTGGATCTGGGAAGTTGAGGCTCTCCTCAGCAGACCCGTTCAGCGGCTTGTGCGGGATCCCCACTGAGGAGGAGTCAGTGTGGCTCCTGCAGGCTGTTCCCAGCAAGTCGTGGGCCTCCATGAGGACAAGCTTAGCCTGCCCCACCAGACCCTTTCCTGCCTTCCTCAGGGACTGAGTCAAAGAACTGCAGGAAGCCTTTATACATGCAGACCACGGAGATCTTACCTAACAGTCAAAATTCTAGTATCCAGAGTAGTGAGAAATTAGTGAGAGAAATTCCCTTTGACAGAATTCTGTCCTTATTAAGCTTCTTCTGTTTCACTGTGCTTCTAATTACATGAGGGCCCAAGGGCGTCTCTTGGCAAGTCAAAGTAAACAGACATATTTTTTGGGCTTAAATCCAGAGTGAAGGTCACACTTGTTCGAGAGAATGAACAGGCAACCTCAGGTTGGATCTCCAAATAAATATAAAAACCCAATATGAAATTTGTCAAGTGACTTTTCTCTCTGCTTAAGATACTCAATTTTTATAAAGGGGGAACACTTTTGTTAACTATCTAATATAATGTTATATGATTTTTCCCCCTTTATTCCATTAACTTTGATGACATTTTCCTCACTCCTTTCAAAGTGTTCTTATTTTTATTATGTTTAACCATCTGGCCAAATGTTTTAGCAAGTAATTAAAAACCTTACAAAGGGTTTAGAATTTTAATTAGATTATACAATTTTTGATGAATGGGGATAGGGAAGGATTTAATGGCTTTGTGGCTAGAGAGGATTATCATCTCTTTTCCTGCCTTGCTTATGTATATCATAAGATTTTTTTGAATTGAAGAGACTGAGTTTGGATTGAAACTTTCTGAAAAATAATGAAGGGTAGGTACAGCTTTTATCCTTAATTCCCTTAGAGAAACGAAGGCACCAGCCTTGAGGGACCCAACCAAAGAAATGTACAAGTTATGGGAAATAGAGAGGTTGGAGAGAGTTAGTGGTTCCCATGAGGAGGTTTTCTCAGCCCAACAGGTCATTTGCAGATCAGTGGCTAATGACCACATGGGTGGTCAGGGTGTTGAGCTGCCCGGCAACAGAGGTGAACAACCGAGGAACCGTGGCGTCCTGCAGCCCCTTCCTGCCCACAAGGAGAAAGCTGTAACATCATGGGGTGGTGAATAAACTCGGGGGGATGGGGAAGGCAGTTCCTGGGGGCAGCTGTGCACAGAACGCAGACAACAACTCGTCTAGGATGAGATAG